ATCTTATCTTCCACATAAATCAAGTTTTCAGAATGCAGCATGGTCTATTTAACCAAACAAATATTCCAGGAAGTCAAGAGTGTGGGGCTGGCTGCCATCAAGTTGTGCAATCCTAAGTAGTGGTCCATTCTTTCCTTTTATGGTATATTTTACATGTACCTAAGTTCATTACAAAGAAAAAATTTTAGTAAGTAAAAAGTTGACTAGATCAGCAACTTTCTGGAAATAGGAGACAGAGGTTCCTTTACAATTTCCACAAAGAAGATATTATATTTTCAGATGTTTTACATTATTGGGCTTCCAAGTAAGATCTGTTTGAAAAAAGTGTTACTCAACTTAAATACAAATTAAACCATTACATTGGAAAACCTCTACAACTTACCTAGTGATAACAATCTGCATAGTGTTAACAAGACTGACTAAAATAGAGCAAGCACCTTTAGTTTGGAAATATTTCTCATATACTTCATAACACCAACATGTATGAATATTCAAAAATATGTATTTGTATATCCTGTAACACAAGGCCTGTAAAGTATTTGAGTTTTTCATTTTTAAAGTCAACAATACAGTAGTGATAAGTATCATATAAATTAATAACAACATACAATTAATAGAAAATCTAAAGTAGACATTTGCAATTTGAGCTTGCCAAACCTGAAATCATATGACAGCTCTGTCACTTACTAGCTTAGTAACTTAATCTCTATGCCTCTATTTCCCCATCTATAAATTATGGGTTTTTTTTAATAAGGGTTAAATGATGTAGAAAAACTCAGCATAGTGCCAGATAAATGGTAAGAATTTAATAGATGGTAGAGATTATCTCTGGCCTCTATTTTTACTTGTCAACATTCAAAGTAGAAATGCACAACTTAATAGCTTTAGTAACAATGTCCTTCCACAGAAAATTCTTTTCAACTCTTCTTGCAGAGTCATCTATCAATTTATCCATAAACAAGGGCAGTCATGAATTCTATGATGGGCATTGTGCTAGTAATGAAGCATATACTGATAGACAAAATGTAGCTCTGCCTTTTATAAGTGAACAACTTAGAGGTGAACACAGGCACAAATATCATTGTTTAACACAAAAAAAGTTAAAGACCCTAATAGAGAAATTTTCTAAACATTATTAGACCAGGTGAGGGGCAGAAGTAGAGAGAAGTAGGGAGAAGAATGATGCTTGAATTATCTTAAGGATAAGTTGGAAGCAGCCAGGCAACTGGAATATTAAGACATTTTCCAGGACACAGAATATTACAAATAGAACTGGTTGTAACATTTGATTTGGCTGAAGGTGCATGGGCAGGTGAGGATGCCACAGAAGTCAAAACTGCTTACTTGATTGTGACATGCCTTAAATGAGACATAGAAGGCTCAGCTGTCATCCTAAAGATTTTGAGAAGCTATGTACAAATTTCAAAGAAGGTAGGGGAAAAGGAGAATGTAAGATCCTAAGATTTTCTTTCAAAATATCTCTGGAAGTATTTTAAGGATTGATTGGAAAGAAGCAAAAATCCTAGATTTGATCTTGATTTCTTTTTTTCTCACAAGAGAATCACCAAATCCTCTACTATCTAAACTCAAAACATATTCAGACTCTGACCCCTTCTCACCATCTCTGCTGGTACCACCTTGTCTAAACCACCATCATTTTTCACCTTAATTACTGAGTGACATCTTAAGTGGTCTCCCACTCCATCTCAGATCCATTATTCCCACCCACAATATCCAGAAGTCTCTAGCAAATAAATAAATCTCATGTCACTCCTTTGCTCAAAACTCTCAAATACTACCTCACTCAAAATGAAGACTAAAGCCTTTACATGCACAGCCCTAAAGGATTTGTATCTTCATGACTTCCTACTCCCTATCTTTCTGACTTCTCTTTGTATTACCCCACACAAACACTTGCTCATTCTACTCCAATTGTACTGTCTCCCTTTCTGTTCCTCCAGTTTACTAGGTAATTGTGTTCCCTCTGTCTAAATCATTCCTCTGGTATTTTCATAGGTAGTTCATCATCTCATCTGTACTCAAGTGCTATCTTCTTAGCAAGGTCTTCCATGGTCAATCTAACTTTTTAGCACCTCATATATTCTTTTCTCACCTCTCTGCTTTATCCCTTACTTTATCTGTTTATCTTATTCATTTCTCTCTCCCCCCCTTCCATTATCACTGGGGCTGGGTCTCAGTATAAAATAATGACATAGAATAGGTGGTTTAGAAACAACAGAAATTTGTTGCTCACAATTCTGGAGACCGGGAAGTTCAAGATCAAGATTCTGGCAGATTCATTGTCTGGTGAGAGCTCACTCTCTGGTTTATGGATGACTATCTTCTCACTGTAACATGAGATAGCAATAGAGATGAACTATCTCTCTGGAGTTTCCTTTATAAGGATATTAATCTTATTTGTGAGCACTCTGGCCTCATGATCTAATCACATCTCCAAAACTCCACCATCTAATATCATCATCTTAGATTTTAGAATTTCAATATATGACTTTTGAGAGGGCACAAATATTCAGTCCATCACACCAAGTATGTTTGTCTGTTTCTCTTTGCTGTCTCTCCAGTACCTAAAACATTGTATAGAATGTTGCAGGCATTCAACAAATGTCTCTTGAATTAAATAATTGATTATTTATGGAAGCAAGGAGACTTGGTAAAAGGTATTTCAAATATTACAAGTAAGGTAACGATTGTCATAGCTAAAGTTAAAATACAGAGACAGAGAGAAAAAAAATTAGATGGCAGGATAAGAATTGTTAGGTGACCTGTTGTATGTAGGAAGTAACCAAGAGGGAGCAGGTGCAGCTAACTCCTAGCTCCCTAATACAGGATAATAGACAGATGGTACTGACATCCACCAATATTTGAAAACAGTGTTGCTGGGGGGAGTTGAATATAGGCTGGGGAAAGAAATACCAAGTTCAGTTTTGAACTTCTCATTTAAGGTGGTTATAAAACATCCATAAGATATTCACTGAATAACTGGAAATAATGAGGTGAACGTCAAAGACATATAGCTGAAGATGTATCTTAAGTATCCTTCTGAGTGGTTGCTAAAACCATGACACTGGCTAGAATCATTGGGGAAGACTTCATAGCAGAAGAGGACTGTGGACCAAATCTTTGTTAATATACATGAAATCTTACTTAAATGGACACAATATTGTCTAAAAGTTCTATACATACATACCGTGTATATCTGAATTTATAATTGCCCTGTCACTGATTTCTTCTATTCTTGTAAATAATAAGAATTTATTGCTAAAGTGCTGTATTATTCCATAGTTAAATATTACAAGTAAGTGTATCAATAGAAGAGGTTAAATAACATTCTTGCATAAATATATTGAAATGTACTTTCAAATTACTATTAAAACTATAAATATTTTATTGCATACTTACTGTGTGTGAGACAAAGCCCTAGACATATAAAAAGAAGTAATTGTTCACTCCCTTTGCATCTCCAGAGTGAGACTAAGAGAAACAGGAGACCCAAAGCATCCTATCCCCTGCAGTGTGTGGTATCTTCGGGAAGAAGTGCATATGAGGAAGTTCATGTTCTTTGATTCAAACCTTCCTAGATTCCATTGCCAGCTCTGTCACTCTTGAATAACCATGAGTTATTTAGTCTCTTCACCTCACTTTCCCTACACTCAAGATGGAATCATAATAGAAACTTTACAAAATCATTGTGAAGATTGGCAAGATACATGTATAAAGCTGGATACAGAACTTTTCACAAAAAAAGGTAGAAAGACAAATTCCAACATTCATGAAATTTTTCAAGTCAATAGAAGAGAGGAGAGGAATTGGGTAACTATTTTACAACTGAATGTTTTTCTGTTTTAATGCAAGTGTTAAAAATCTCATTGATCATGATGCCACATTAGAAGCAAAATATTTTCTCATCCAGATTTTTACTTCAACATAAGTCAGAATTCAAACAATGTTTGCAAACATATTCTCTTTAATTTGCAAAGCAAATGCTGTGCACAGTTTAGTTTGTCTTAGCATAAACTTTAGAATCAGCAACATGCAGGGTTTAACTGTGAGTTGCACTGTCAACAAGAACAGTAGATATTTCCTCAGCAATTTCTGAGGGTGGAACAATCAATTCTTATGTAATTATCGCTTGTGAGATTAAGGTGATTTAGGCTCCACACCCTTGGTTTATTGAGTCATATGTCTCTTGGTGGTTTTCAGCCACTGAGTTGAAGATGTTTTCAGTGAACTGGAAGCAAAGTTGGCTTGAAAGTAGCTCCCAAGCAAGACTCATCCAAACTAAAGCATATGCTGGTGCTAGCTTTTATTTAGCTTTTGGTTTGGGGAAGTTTTTGCCTCCAACTTAACCCTTGTTTTTCAGTACTTCGGAACTTCTCACTTCATATCAGATTTCATCTCTGAAAACATAATCAGCCCTTATTTATTCCATGGGGGATTAATCAGTTGGAGACTTGTTTAATATTCGGATTTAACTTTACCTCAACTCTTTCTCGCAACCACTAGCAGTAAATTTGTAAATCCCAAACATTGTGGATTTGTGATAGCATGTAACTGGCACAAAAACCTCATAAGGAACAAATCAGTCAACTGAGACTCCAAAAGTTGGCAAATGTCAACAGGGCATTCTTTTCCCAAATGTTAGATCCTGGATCTGTGTCACAGAAAGTCAGTGTTCTCTATTATAGCCAAATAAACAAAAAAGAGTAATGAAATAAAAAGACATCACAAGGTTAAAGCTACATTATCCATCTCCTTTTTTAACTTTTCTTAGGTTATTTCCTTCCTACTTTGCATATTTTTATGGACTCTTATTAAATTATTATGCTTGAGCACAGTCAACTTTTGCAATTTATAATGTAGTTGTTGAGTAAAATTTAAACATGGCAATAATCTTCTGAAGTGTTACTGGTTGCAAAGCCACAGTATATAATGTACAGATTACACACTGCAAAATGCCAAAAGGTGCCTTTTATAGATCCATGAGGTGAGTAGGTTTCAAATACTATATGTTTCAGATCAGGCAACTCTGCTGTGAAAACTAATGTCTGAGAATCACTGACCAGAATGTTAGCAAAACAAGTAGAGGCCTGGGGGAGTGAATCAATGGTAAAGCATCTACCTAACAAGTGTGAGGTCCTGAGTTCAACCCCACTATTATCAAAAAAGAAAATAAAACATGAAATCAAACTAGAATCTGGCTAAAAATATCTGCTTCCCATCTTTGTTAAGGCTTTTTAATCTGATATATACTCAGGAGTTAACACATACAACAAATATTCATAAATATTTATAAAACACTTACATATGCCAGGCACTTTATGGTACAGGAAAAAACATCTTTACTTTTAAAGTGCTCAAAATTTAGTGGATAATAATATTTAACTGGAAGTATTTACTTTGGGGCTGGGAATGGTGGCACACATATGTAATCCTAGCAACTTGGGAGGTGGGACAAAATTGCAAGATCCTATCAAAAGCAAACTAAAGCAAAAAAAGACCAGGTATATGGCTCAAGAGGTAGAGTCCTACCTCTACTAGCAAGTGCAAGGCCCTGAATTCAATCTTCAATATTGCTAAAACCAAAAACAAAAACCAGAAATATTTCATTTTTAATGCCTAACAAAACCTCATTTAATCTTCAAAATAGCCTTGTGAGTTAGAAATTATTATTCTATTTTTTCAGATAAAGAGTCTCATATAAATGGAAAACAAAGAGTAGAACTGAATTTCACACCTAGCTTCTCTGGTAACCACCCATTGTGAGTGTGTACAACTGTGTATGTAGTGGAGGGATGCCGGCAGTAAATGAGATTTTCCTGTATGATATACCAAATGTAATATGAAATACTACTCCAGTACAAATCTATTGAACTACACAGCATTTGATGAATTAATAAGGAAAAATTATGTCACATAAATCCTCTGGTGTTGAAGCAGTTCTAATTCATTTCAGGTGCTTGCTACTTTCCTGGTTCCAGTAATATTGAGAATACCATAGTAAGGAATGCTATTGTTCTGACATCACCCCACTTCTTTTCCCTCTTCTACCCTTCTTCCTACTCAAGACTATCTATCTTGAGTACAGCCCTGGAGATATTGCAGGTTGTTACACTGATATCTAGTTAAGGCTCTTGGAAAGTGAAACAGAATGACTACTTATTATTCTTCAGAACTCTGTCATTTAGTAGAAGGCAAAGCAATTCCAAACCACAGGTCATATTTTCCTTATTCTTCCATCAAGCTACTTAAATACTCAACAGTTTTGTACTGAAACCAAACAAACAAATGTTGAGAGAAAAACCATTAAGACAGCTTTGTTCAGTTCGGATTCATTTCCCAAACTACATTTCTATAGTTACTCCCATGTGCAAGCTAAGATACTGAAAAAGACAGATGGTCATGAGCACTGAAACAGTAGATTTTCTGAGTAAAACAATGGATTTTCTTAGTAAAGTGGGTGACCTTTTGTCTTTCCTCCTGTTCTAAGGCCAGCTCGAGTGTCATCAAGTTCAAGATTCCTGAACCCATTTGTCGTAGCTCTTGTCGTCATTGGAGGGGTGGCAATCCTGGCAATGATTGCAGGTCTACTTATTCACTTTTTAGCTTTTGGTAAGTGTCATAAATTATTACTTTTCAGACTAAATATTTAATATGCTTTCAGATTAAAATTTGGTCTTCTCTCTTTGGTTGCCATATTTATTTCTGAATATAAAGTGATCTTACTTAGAATTTTTCTCTAAATATATATTCATATCTATATTTCCTCTCAATAAGCATATCATCTCATTTTTATTGTTTTTAGTATACAGAGCAAGCATAAACACACCAAATATTGTAGACAAAGAAAAAAATCTTCCTATTTTCATGATGGATGTTAACATTTGATCACCATTGTTTTTGTTAATGTCATGATTGCCTTCTTCATTTAATAACCTGATAAAAATCATAAGAGTAAAATATTGCAAAGAACCTTAAGCTTCACTACCTAAAATGTGGGTGAATCCAAGTTTTTGTTATTTCATACTCTGCACAGGTTCAAAAGCAGAACAGCTGTGATGATCAGTACATAAATTTACAGATGAGAAGTGAAAAGGGGGAAAATACCAAACTCTGAAAAAGTTTTATTGTTTGGTTCTCTTTTAAAGTTTTTATATCACCAAAAAAACTAGAAAACATAGACAGGAAAACACATACCATGCTAAGTTTGCTTAAACTCTTGGTGAATAGTCTTTCAGATGCTTTAATATGCAAAATGTGTCTGATTTTACTACATCATATCATACTTTGTAATATTTTTTCATTTAAAAATATAATTTGAGTCTTTTTTTTTATTTTGGATGTAATCATATTAGATTATTGAAATTCTGTGTGTAAGTCTGGAGATGAGGATATTATGGGGAAAGAACATAATTTATGGTATTTCCTTTTATAAACAGGCAAAAATGCTTAACTATGCAATAGGTTGAAAATTTCCCAACAGTACAATAAAATTATCAACATTAGAAAAAACACTAACAAGGAATCATCATTTAAAACCTCATCAAATGTAAACATTGTGAATAAATTTTGCTCTTGAAAACATTTTGCTATCCCTAAGATGAATTACAGAGGTAGGAAAAAGAGACATTGAGTTTCAGATTAAATTAATGAATCCAGTTTTAATGACACCCTATTGTCACACTTAAAGGCAAAGAAGAGACCCCAGGTAAATAATGTTGCCATTATATCCCATTGATCACTGGTGAGCCAAAAATGATTTATCCCTCTACGAAAAAGAACAAAGCTCCTCCAATGATTGCTAACTCTTTCCTCTGAGTAAGGCCTTTTTCTGTGTAAATTATGTGTACAAATGATCAAAGAAAAGCAGGGATTTTTCCTGAGATAGGTTCTACTAAATTACGTCCATTTTCATTATGTTTCTGAGCTATGTGTAGATACGTTTTAAGGTTTTTTTTAATCCCCTTCACACAGCTGAATATGAATTCTGGAAGACCTGTTTTGATGAAAATAGTCTGTAATGGACAAACAGATTCAATATGCTATTAGAAGATTTACTGTATGGATTATTCCAGAAACACTAATGTCAAATCACTGATTCCTGTATAAATCACTTGAAATTATTTTAAAAACTATTAGTACCTGAATTTTTCCTTAATGATAACTGAACAATAGCATATTATGGATATTCACTAACAGTTATTGAATGCGTAAACCACAAACCTCCCTAAGACATGGTAATAATGAAAATCATAGCAGCAATTTTTAATATCTCAAGTACTAATACTACTCTAACTTTAATACATCTTTAACAGTCCTAGCTTCAAAAAAAATGCTGGGCATGGTGGCACACATCTGTAATTGCAGCACTCTGGAGGCTGAGGCAGGGGGATAGAAACTTCAAGACCAGCCTGGGTTTAATACTGAGACCCTGTCTCAAACAAAGGAAAGAAGGAGGGAAGGAGGGAGGGAGGGAGGAAAAATAATTTTGTAGTTAATTATATTGTCATAGAGTGTTCTTTCTTTTAAGGAAAGCATATTTTAATCATGTAATATAATGTTCCATAATCCTGAATAAAATATTCAACTACTTAGTAGGTAAGACTAATCCTGCTTTTTCTTTCCTTTCCAGATCGAAAAGCCTGCTTTTACCATAGCAGCTTTCAAATACTAAATGTGCAATATAGTGATGAGTTAAGTTCACCAGGTTCACAGGCATTTAGAACTTTGAGTGAAAGAATTGAGTCTATGGTACGTTAATATTTATCTTTGTTCTTTATTCCATTGTAAAGTGACTATGATAATAAATCCAGTATTTTAAGATGTATTTTCAATTGCTAGAAACTGCATATTTTCAAGGGTGAAGAATGTGTTTCTTTCTTCTCTGAGTTAATTTGCTAGTATACCAGTTCTTATTCACATTTTTCATATGTCATGAGTGAAATGTGTTATAAAGGCCATGAATAAATATGCATTTTATTTGACTATGACTTCAGAGACTGCAAGTCTATTACTTGTTTGTGCTAAGTACCGAGATTATCTTTTTAATTGCCTTTCATTTTTACCTTCTTTTTTTCTTCCTCTGTTTAACTAAAGAATACATAAGGTAATATGTGTTAAAAAGATGTTTGTAATAACATAATTTGGACAACATTACACTTTGGTTCTATGACAGGCCTAAAAGTTTACATTTAAAAAAATGCAAGGCAAGCTTTGACTCTCACTTGAAAAGGTTCTCACAAACTGACCTTACATATTCATGTATCGCCACAGACCAGGGTCTGGCCTTCATCCTGAAGAATCAGAGTTGATCAGTCTCAAAGTTGCTTACTTACCCTTACCTTTGATAAGAATCCTAAAAATATAAATCATTCCAGTGGTCCTAAAACTTTAGCATGCATCACAATCACCTGACACTCTTACTGAAACTCAGATTTCTGGGCCCCCAACAATAGTTTCTGGCACAGTAAATCTGGGCAGCCCCCAAAAGCTGCATTCCTAACAAGTTCCAAGATGATAGGGATGCTGTAGATTCAGGGACCATACTTTGAGAGCCACTAAAGTTAATCTTTAATGAGCACTATCGCAGCAGGGGGACTAAATCATCAGTTTGTCTCACACATGGCAAGCTTCATTGGAAATCAAATTATGAGAAGTCAAGTTATGGAAGTTTGAATGGAAAATCACAAAGCAAGCTTTGGCTTTCTCATAAAGAGGCCCATTGGTTACCTGCCAGGTCCTGCCAAGAGGACCCTACACATTCATGTATTCATTTGAACATGGAATAGAGCAAAGGAAGTGTTTATATATATTCATATATACATATATGTGCATATTTAAGAAAAATCATATATATGTTATGTATACATATATATTTGTGCATAATTTGAATATTATGAGATCAGAATGAAGTTGAATTGGAGTGATTTGGAAAGTGAATCTAGGCCAGGAAATAGAAGTAGAGTTAACATTGGGGAAAAAAAGTCTACATGTCAGAAGTGGGGACCTCCTGTACCTTCAATAAACATTTATTAATTATTAATCTTGTCAAATGTAGGCATTTAAAAATGGAGTAGCTAGGGGTCCTGCCTAAATTAAACAAATGTACAAATATTTCTAATACAAGATACATAGACCGTATGTGGCATAAAAACAGAACGGATATGAGTTTGGGATGAGGAAAGTTAGTTATAGCCAGTCATGGATACCAGAGATAGTTTCTTATAAAAGGCAACTTTTTAGGTTGGCCATGAGAAAAAGTAGGGTGAACAAAGAGCAAAACATCAAAGCATAGAAGTGAGAAGGTGCTTTGCAAACAAGTTTGGATTCTATTTTATAGACAAAAAGTCTTGAGCTGGAGATGACATGATGGAAACAGGATCTGATACATTCCTGTTATGAAGTATTATACATTAAGTTAGAAAGAGAAAATTCTAAACACAGAAAGCCTAGTTAAAAGCTCATTGCAATGGACTAGAAAAGAGGCCGAGTTAAAAGCTTGAAATAAAGAATACTCTAGACAATATGGCAATGCAGATACAGCTTCATCTTGGAATCACCTAGGCATCCCTCCTCCCTTACTCACTACTTTCTCCTCTCATTCTGTCAGAAATTCAAAGGACTGTTTAGTTGTATCATTTGTACCATGGGACCACACTGTTCAGTGATCAAGTCAATGGGCATTCCTAAATTTCTTGAAGCTACAAGAGATACAAACCCTCAAGAGAACAATGGGGACAGCTATTCTTAATGAAGTCCTCACATCCATACCAAATTCCTGATTTGGGGGTTATGCTGCTTTTCTCACAATTAGACTACAATGACAGATTTGGGGGAGAGTGATGATAGACAACAAGTGTCATTTTGACCACATTATATCAAAGGTGTTCATTATTATCACCATTACATCACTGTTGGCCTTAGTCACTGGCTGAGATAGTACTTGTCAGGTTTGTACACTGTAAAATTACTCCTCTGCTTTTTCATATATACTATTTGGAAGGAAATCAATAAGTGCACCAACATGTAATAAGTAAAGCAGTGAATAGTTATGCTTTGAATATTTGAAGAATATTTGAAATTTTTCTGTTTATTCTTTCTATTTGACCATGTGTTTATATCAGTATAGTGATCTATGCGCTTTAAATATTAATTTTAACTTCTAAATTGCACTCTGGAAGTACCTAAGTACAAACTCCCACCAGATATAATATGCATAATTATATTTATGTCTCCACAGCATTAACATGAGGCATTTTAAATCTTTTTAAGCATTGTTAATTTAACAAGCAAGATGTGATATCATTATTACTTTGATTTGCATATCTGATTACTAATGAAATTTAACCTGCTTCTATACCCTAATCTGTTACTTTTAAATTTTCATTTGTGAATTATTGGTTACAACCCTGCCTGTTTTTATTGGAGCCCTTGTTTTTAATATGAATTTGAAAAAACTATTAAAATATTGAAATTTGTCTTTCATTCAGGTTGCACACATTTATCTAGTGATCTAACTTCCTATCTTTTTTAAAAACAAAATAGAGGTTTTTATGCCAAAAAGAAGACAATTTTATGCAGCCAAAATTCAGTTTTCTTTGTAATTTCTCATTTATGTGACAAGTTAAGAATGGCTTTCTTCTCCCTGTATAGTCTTTAAATATTTATTTGAGTTTTCTTTTTGTACTTTCATTATTTCAATTATTGTAATTTTATCTTTGATTAGAATTTTTGTAATTAAGGTAGCGATCCAACTTTTTTTTGAGATCCAACTTTTAACCAAAAATAAATAGATTATGGTCCCCAAACAGTTTGTTACATAGTGCAATTGACTTATCTGCTATGTCGCCTTTATCACATGATAAATTCCTCCTTTCTTTTTTCCTAAGCCCTATTCTCTTCCACAGGTTAATCTTTGCCTGCACTTGTAATAGATTATTTTAAGTACTGTGGTTTGATGATTTAATTAATATTTCAATACTATCCTTGAAATTCTTCTGATGTATAATTTCCCTGCTAAATCTTACATATTTATCATACCATAAAAATAAACATTTGAATACTTAAAGCATTATGTGAATACTATGACCTGGTACTTTATAGACCAAAAAGCACTTTCATGTATATTATCTAACCTTTATCTCACAATAGCCACAGGAATTAATACTTCGCTTGCATAAATGGGTAAGTAAAGATAATGAGGTAAAGAAACATGTCAAAAGATATTCAACTGTAACAGAATTCAAAAAGGGTCTCTTGAGTCCAAAAACAAAAGTTAAACCATATCTCAATGATAGCACCATTATCCTTGTCCTGTTGACAATGTGATAACACCGAATGAGCAGTGGAGTAGTCCCAGAATTTTCTGTTTACTGATCCTCAGTTTATTCATCAGTGAAATAAAACAGTTGATTTTTTTTTGGCTCTTCTGGGGTATGAACTTGGTGCTTCATGCTTGCTAGACAAGCACTCTACCATTTCAGCCACACCTCCAGTCCAATATTTGAAATAGATGATTTTTGTTGTACTTCCCACTCAAGTCTATGCTTTTGTGATTTTCACGGAAGATATCTATGCCATTCATTCACCTGTTTTTTCTTATCCTGTTTCTCTCTGGCCACTCCTTTGCACTCATCCTCCTCTAATACCATTAAATGCTATCATTGTTATAATGTTAATTCCCCTTCTCTTCTCACACTATTCTATTTCTAGATGATTGCCTTCATGCCTGCTACTCACTATATCTTCATCTTAGACTTTTCAGAGTTTTTACCTAACTCTCAGTTTCATATCTCTACTTGGCAATTTCCAAGCATCTCAAACACATTATATCTCAAAAATCAAACTCATGAAATTCACACTTAGCCTTCCTTCAATAATCTCTGTCCCTATTAATGACAATACTTTCTATTCAGTTATTCAAACTGGAAACCCAGAATTCATCCCATAATACTACTGTCATTCCAACTATCTTACCCATCACCAATTCCTGTAGATTTTATCCCTTGTACTTCCTCACTTCTATCTCTCCATTTCCACTGCTACCATGCCTACCCAAGCCACATCTTGACCCTGAAATTCCAAAATATCATCATAACTAATATGTCCATTTGCATTATTTCTTCCCTGAAACTGATATTCATATGCATCATTAGCAATTTTCAAATTGCAAATCTATATTATCCTTTTGTTCAAAACACTTCAGTGGTTTATTTATAATAAAGATTAAATGTTTCACATGCCAACAATACCTGAATGATCTGGCCTTTATTACCACCCTAACCTATTTGCCCTTCATCATGCAGCTGCTTTCTTCCATTATTTACACTCCACCTACTTGGTCTCACCTCAGGATCATGCATGTGTGCCATTCACTCCACCTGGGAGAAATTTCCTTTCTCTTCAGCCGGCTAACTGTGATTCTTTCCCAAAGACCTCATCTCAAATAAACAGTCATTGGGGAATTACACTTCATGAGTTGTATGAGTGGACTTCCCAAGTACTAACTTTGCTCTTGCCCTACCACCTTAGCAATAGCCATCAAGTCATATAACATAAACGCTCATGGAATAAAACAGCTGCTATAATTGGAATGACTTCTAGAAAAGACTTATCCTGTCCAGGATTATCTCTACTTAATAACTGAAAAAATAGTCACCTCATCAAAAGATTACATGGCTTGCCCAAATCAATCCCCTGCTTTGTGATGAAACTAAGCTGAACCCAGCTGAAACCTTAGGTCTCTACTCTTCATTAACATAAACTCTATGTTGCAAGATTAGGAGAAAAGAAAGGAAAACTGTAATTACAGAGAGACTTCCCCCCCTTTCTTTCTACAGATTACTAATACATTTCAAGACTCAAATTTAAAAGGTCAGTTCATCAGAGCTCATGTTGTGAAACTGAGGTAAGTGAAACTACATCAAAAACTATATAAGCATAGATGTAATTTGGCACTTTTGACTTTTGTTCACAGCATGGATAATAAATGACATAGTCATGAAATTTTCTGTGGCAATATGAAAATAGGGCAGATTAAAACAATGTCAAAAGATATATATGATTTATTTCACTACTATGCAAATAACCACATTGCTTCAATTATTAATTGAAAAAGGAAGAAAAGGTACAGGAAAAGTTGGGGTAAGAATATAATAGCAGGACCATCCTGTTGTACAAATGCAATGAATGTCATTCACAATGCAGTGTGTGTTAATAGTACCCCCTGGTGTTGCATAATCTTCATCAAACTTTTTGGTTTCATCTGACTGGAATGTTATAATAAAATAAGAATGTTGTGGACAAATGCATGACATCTCTGTGAGGGACTAGTAATAGGAGGATTAGCAGCATGCATTCTTTTCAGGAAATTGCCATCCCTACCTTAGTTAAATATGTACCTGTCCATGTGATGTTATAAAATAGGCCCTCCCAACTAAAATAGTCACCCTGACTGACCCTCCCTCCCACAAATGTCTTAAATGCTCACAATGCCCAATACTTCAAATAATATGCAACACTTCTTTGGTAAGAAGAATTGTACTAATTCTTCTCAACTGCACATCACAAAAAATAAACACAGAGCTTTGTATATATGTATTCTGAATATATAAACACACACACATATACACATATGTGGCATATAGCATATATATAGATATAGATAGATAGATAGATAGATAGATAGATAGATAGATAGATAGATATAAAGAATCTGATGAGGATTTAGAGGAATAGGGAAGGATATTTTCCAAAATACATTTCAGTTAATTCAATGCACATTCCTTTTAGTATTTTGTTATAAAAGTCTCTGTAATAGCTACTAATGTTCAGTGTTCTCAGCCTTCAAAACTTGAAGGACTGAATGAACCATCTGCATCTTCTTTCCTTTTGTTCACTTTTCATTTACCATTCAACCCAGTGCACTCTGGCTTGTGACCACTCTATAAAATACAAAGTGCTCTTACTAGTTCAACAACAACCTTCAAATCATAAAATCCAAAAGAGCCATATTAGTCCTTTTCTTGAACCTATCAACAGTATTTGGCACTATTAGCTGGTCCTAGAAATAATGTCATCCTATACTGGTTTGTTGGTGCATGCCTGCAATCCCAGTATTCAGGAGGCAAGTCAAGAGGATCACAAGTTCAAGGCCAGCATGAGCTACATAGTAAGACTTAATCTCAAAAGAATAAAGGGCTGGGCATATAACTCACTGGTAGAACACTTGCCTAGCATGCATGAAAGCTCCAGGATGAAAGAAAGAGAAGAAAAAAGAAAAAGAAAGAAAGAAAAGGAAGAAGGGAAGGAAGGAAGGAAGGAAGGAAGGAAGAAAAAGGAAGAAAGGAAGGAAGCAAACGGGGGATGGGGGAGATCCAAAATGATGGCTAAGGTAGGGAATCAGATCTCCTAAGCAACATGACTCCAGAAACTTCCTTGAGACACTGGAGCCACACTTGGGTAATTCTGATTGGTCCTAGACAAAATAATAACTGCCATCACATCAGGTGATGTTGAAGAGATTGTCTTTTCTCCATACTATGCTTTTGACTAATCCTGAAATCAGCCTTTAATTGCACCTACAGACACAAAAATCCTGTCCAGCACAGCCAGCAGAGGCAGTCAGCCTCCGGCCCTGGGAAAAAAGCCACTGGCCACTTCTCTTTTTTTTTCCTTTTCTTTCTTCTCCCAACAAGAAGACAGAGCATCAATCAGAATCAAACTCTGTGACATCCTGGACCCCTAGTGCATGGAAAAAAGGCCTCCCTACACAGGCCACACTGAAAACAGTGGAACTATTTCTCCCCACCAGCTAGCTACAAAACTGCCTGCATGAAACTATAAAAGAAACATGTGAGCATCACACACTACATGCATCTCCACTACACACCCCTCACCCCACCCTACCCCCAGAAAAATAATTCAGTGCAGCCTCTGGGCAGACTGAACCCCCCTCCAGCAAAACTGAAAACCATGAACAGTGAACTTTAATCTAACACCTACATCAGAAGTAAGGGTAGAATGCTGAACCCACCCTGGACTTCAAACTATACTACAGAGCCATAGCAATATAAACAGCATGGTACTGACACAAAAATAGATGTGAAAACCAGTGGAATAGATTGGATGACCCAGATATGAATCCACATAGCTATCCTAGAATTAAATGACACCATAAATCAAAGGACCTAACTGATATCTATAGAATATTTCATCCAACAACAACACAATATACATTCTTCTCAGCAACCCATGGAACTTCCTTCAAAATAGATCATATCTTAGAGCATAAAGCAAGCCTTAGCAAATATAAGAAAATAGAAATAACTCTCTGCATTCTATATGATCAATGCATTCGAACTAGAACTCAGCAACAAAAACAGCATCAGAAAACAAATAATTGGAGGTTGAATAACACATTGCTCAGTAATCAGTGGTCATAGTAAAAATAAGAGAGGAAATCAAAAGGTACCTGGAAGGTAATGAAAATGAAAACACAACCCACCAGAACCTATGGGACACAACAAAGGCAGTCCTAAGTGGAAAGTTTATAGCCATGAGTGCATATATTAAAAGGACAGAAAGATCTCAAATATATGACCTAATGCTATATCTCAAACTTTTAGAAAAGAAGAACAAGCAAAACCCAAAACAAGCAGAAGGAGAGAAATAATAAAAATAAGGTCCAAAATTAAAGAAATACAGACAAATGAACCATACAAAGAATCAACGAGACAAAAAGCTGGTTCTTTGAAAAACTAAACAAGATTGACAAGCCCCTGGCAAATCTGACTAACATGAGTGAAAAGACCCAAATTAGTAAAATCAGAAATGCAAAAGGGGAGATAACAACAAACAACAAGAAAACTACTTTGAGAACCTATATTCCAATAAATTGGAAAAATCTTGAAGAAATGGACAAATTTCTAGATGCTTATAACCTCCAAAACTGAATCAAGAAGATATTAAATACCTAACCAGATCTATGACACATAATGAAATGGAAGCAGCAATAGTCTCCCAAAAAAGAAAAGTCCAGGACCTGTTGGATTTTCAGGTGAATTCTACCAGACCTTCAAAGAAGAACTAATATAAACACTCCTTATACTTTTCCATGAAATAGAAAGAGAAGGAAAACTGTGCAACCCATTCTATAAAGCCAGTATTACAGTCATACCAAAACTGGACAAAGACATCCAAAAAAAGAGAACTACAGGACAATCTCCTTAATGAACATTGGTGCATAAATCATCAACAAAATAATGGCAAATCAAATCCAACAACATATCAGAAAGATCATTCACCACGACCAAGTTGGCTTCATTCCAAGGATGTAGGGATGGTTCAACAAATGCAAACCAATAAATGTAATATAGCACACTAATAGAAGTAAAGACAAAAACCACTTCATCATCTCAATAGATGCTGAAAAAGCCTTTGATAAGACTCAACACCTCTTCATGATAAAAGCTCCAAGAAAACTATAAATGGAAGGAATGAACCTCAACATTATAAAGTCTACATATGACAAACCTATTGCCAACATCATACTTGATGGGGAAAAACTGAAAACATTCCCCCTAAATTTAGGACGAGACAAAGGTGCCCACTTTCCGCACTCATATTCAACATAGTCCTGAATTCCTAGCCAGAGCAGTAAGGCAAGAAGAAGTAATAAAAGGAATACAAATAGGTAAAGAAATAATCAAACTATCTGTATTTACAGACAACATGATCCTATACATCAAAGACCCAAAAAGCTCTACCCAGAAACTTCTAGATACCATAAACAGCTTCAGCAATGTAGCAGGATACAGAATCAACCTGCAAAAAGCAGTAGCCTTTCCACACCAACAATGAACAAATTGAGAAAGAATATAAGAAAACAATTCCAGTTACAGTAGCCTCAAAAAAAACCAATACATAGGAGTAAACTTTACAAAGGACATAAATGACTTCTACAGGGAGAACTACAAACCACTGAAGAAAGAGATTGAGAAAGACTACAGAAGATAGAAAGATCTTCCATGCTCATTGATTTCCATTATCAATGTAATAAAAATGGCTATACTACCAAAAGCAATCTACATGTTCAACACAATTCCCATCAAAATCCCAGTGACATTCATCACAGAAATTGAAAAATCTACTCTAAAGTTCATTTGGAAACACAAAAGACCATGAATATCCAAGGCAATACTGAGCAAAAAGAGCAATGCTGGAGGTATCACAATACCTGACTTCAAACTATACTACAGAGCCATAGCAATATAAACAGCATGGTACTGACACAAAAACAGATGTGAAAACCAGTGGAATAGATTGGATGACCCAGATATGAATCCACATAGCTATGCCCACCTTATTTTCGACAATGGTGTCAAAAGCATAGTATGGAGAAAAGACAATCTCTTCAACAAATTTTGCTGGGAAAAATGGCTATCTGCCTGCAGAAAACTGAAAGTAGACCCATGCCTGTCACCCTGTACTATTATCAACTTAAAGTGGATTAAGGACCTTAACATCAAACCTGAAACCCTGCAGTTTTGAAAGAGCTGGAAACAATAGGTATAGGCAAGGACTTCCTCAGTAGAACTCCAGAACTCCAGAAACCCAGCAACTAAAAGAAAGAATGGACAAGTGGGACTACATGAAATTAAAAACTTCTGTACAACAAAGGAAATTGTCTTCAAATTGCAGAGAGCACCCACAGAGTGGGAGAAAATCAAAGGCCTGATAACCAGAATATACACAGAGTTCAAAAAACTAAACTCCCCAAAAATCAATGAACCAATAAAGAAGTGGGCAACTGAATTAAACAGAATTTTTTCTAAGGAAGAAATCCAAATAGTCAAAAAACACATGAAAAAATGCTCACCATCCCTGGCCAAAAAGGAAATGCAAATC